CAAGTTAAAAGGAGGGTTTCAAATTAGGGTTTTGAAAGAAGGTTGGGATTTCAAATTTAGGTTTCAAATCAGGGTGATAAGATAAGATAAGATAACCTTTATTTGTCCCACACTGGGGAAATTTGCAGGCTACAGCAGTCTCATTTTGGGATTTAATACCAAGCTTAAATTTTCACAGAATGGTTTGAAGCCTAATTTTCAATTTCAAACGAGGATTAGGGCTTTCGAATTAGAATTTGTTGGTCATGTTTTAAAGTAGAGTTTTAGGCCAGGTATCAAGTTAGGTTTGAAAGTCAGTGCTACAGTTTCATGCCAAGGTAAATGTTTAATATTTAGGCTTAAAAACAAGGATTCTTTTTCAAATTAGGATTGAAAATTGGGTTTCTAAATCAAAGTAAGGGTTTCAAATGACAGTTAGGGTTTAAACAAAGGTTATCATTTCATGTTAGGGTCTGAAGCCAGGGATATATCTATCACTGCCCCTTGGTGCCACAACAGATGGTGCCAAAGTATGGTTTCGAGCCAAGCTGTCTTCATTTTTATTCCGGGGCAAGTCTAGTGAACCGTGTTTATGAATTTGGCAGATTTTGTGCCCCAGAGTACACTAGACTTTAGACCAGGTAAAAATAGTTCTAAGTTGTGGGGCAGGTGCTGTAAAACGATTTTGGTAGATTTGGTCAGGGCACATGCAAACGGATTCTTCTCTCCGCTGATGTGTGGTGAGGTTGTCAGAACACATGGGGGTTGTCACACAGACATATGATAGGGATTTGAAGGCGGTCTCCAAGTGCCCATTTCACAGCAACCAACTTTACATCTTCTGCGAGTGGAAATTTTCTTGCAGTTCCTTATAAATGTACAGGTACTTTTCCCGCACTAATCTTCTTCATGGACTTCAGTGAGGGGACTTCAAGGCGGCTCTGTTCACTCCCAAAATAATGTAAACGCCCATTTCTACCTGTGACCATCTATGAAAATACCAAAAGATAGGAAACTCCACCCATGCACACAGTTAGACTGCACTTGGAGCGAGACTTGTGCTGGGCGCAAAAATAGGGCCCATTGTCTTGAATGTCAGATGAGCATAACAAACTTTGAGACATTTCACAATCGCCACGAAGACAGAAAGATATTTGTCAGCATAACATGGTTCTGTTTCACCCATTATTAGTGAATGGATTCTTGTCATGGCTCCAGCGGTCTCATCACAAAAGAAGTCGTACTATTATGGTTTTATTAAGTGTGTGTGTGTGTGTGTGTGTGTGTGTGTGTGTGTGTGTGTGTGTCTGTGTTTGTGTTTTAAAAGCATTCTATTAGATGCATATGAGGGTATTAAAAGCCAAATGTTGCGCAGGGGCTGTAATAGCACTGAACCCAGCTAATGGGGGATAACAGCTGAGCTCAGGTCGGAAGAAGCAAACATTCCGCAAGGGCTTGCAACAAAGACGCCTTTCAACAGAGGATAAATGTTCCTCACAAAAAGACTGAAAGAAGCAGAAGATGAATCAGAGAGGAAACGGAGCAGCGTGGATGGAGAGAGCGTTTGGAGATAATTTCATTTGCTCCAGCAAGGCCTCATTGTGAGAGCACACACACACACACACACACACACACACACACACACACACACACACACACACACACACACTACTCTAGTCTTTCCCCTAGAGTCTAGGGCCTCGACTCTTTACATGCTTCTCTCAAGAATGTCTCAAAACTCTTCAAAATGACTTTACAAAATACTTTCCAACCTCTTCCCAAAGTTGATGTCAAACTCAACACAATCTCCTCCCGAAACACTTCACAAGCGTTCATAACACACTTCCGAGACCTTCCTAAAGCTCTTCACTGGCCCTTCACGAGCTCTTCTCAAAGCTCATCACAAACTCTTCACAAGCTCTTTCCAAACCTATTTCAAGTTCTACACATAGCTTTTCCCTAAAGCTCCCTACAAGTTTGTCTCAAGAAACTCTCAAAACTCTCCCTGGCTCTTTACAAAATACATTCCAAGCTCTTCCCAAAGTTCTTGACAAACTCGACACAAGCTCCTCAAGTTCTACAGTGTCATCACAAAGCCTTCCCAAGAGTTTTCCAAAGCTCTTCATTCGCTCTTCACTAGCTATTCACAAGCTCCTCACAAAGCACTGTCCAAACTCTTCTCAAAGCTCTTCACAAGCTCTTCTCAAAGCTTTACCCAAGCTCTCCGCAAATGTTTATCCAAAACCCTTCAGATGTTTTTTCCATGCATTTTCCAAAGCAGTCTCTCAGCTCCATACAAGCAGCTTCACGAACAACTCCCCAAGCACTTCCCAAGACTCTTCATAAGATTTTCACAAACTATCGTGAAAATTTCTGGAAGCTAAATTTAGGTTGTTAGTGGATGCTATGGAGAGTCTTAGCCACAAGTGACTCCTGTCTTTTTTTTATTTTTTTAATCAAGTCAACCATCAGCCACTTTGGGGGAATAATTCTGTAAAATGAGTTTGAAATAATATAACAGTGTTCTGGAATCATAGTTCTGTTGCCTCAGCACGACGAAAGATGTAAAATGTAGCCGGGTGCGACTCAAGCTCAGAACACTGGCCTCAACTTGCTGCCAGTCATTCGGCAGCACTGCCAAACACGTCAAGTAATCCACAGAGTTGATCCTCGATGCCAACCTCCCAGCACAAAACCTGCCCCCACACACACCCCTTTGGCTCAACCTCATCCATCGACTGACCTGCTTTCAGAACCATCTTGAAGTCATCAAACAAATCATCCTGATGACTCACGGACCTCCCCTTTGACCTTCCCGAAAAGGTGTTTGGGCCTCAAATAAAGTTACCCGGGATGCATGGCAGAAATTCAGGAGTCAAGAGACCAGTGGACAAATACGGTAGATGGTCAGTTCAACAAAGACGAAGATGTTGACACAGTAAACAAAATACAATGAAGGACATCTTGGCTATTCGGTGTCCACCAATCATCACACTGCACTGTGTCTATCGCCGGCCATTTGCGCCACAATGTGACAAGGTACCGACTAGCAGAGGTGAATTGGTGAAAATTCTCAATGTAAGTGAATCCACTATTAACATAACACTTTTTGAACATAAAAAATATATATTGTACTCAATTGAGTACTAAAAGTATTGTGCATAAATTATTTTTAAAAAAATCATTTCAATGTTGAGAAAGAACAGTTAAAAGATTGAATGCAAATTTAATACCCTTAAAACTTGAATACAATTGAATTTCACTGAAATGTACTGCACTGAATGGAAATTTTAAGCCACTAACATTCTGCAGTTTGAACATTCAATTCAGTGATTCTTTTGTGTGCCACTAGAGGGAGCCTGCATACAGCAAGCGGTTCCAGATTACCCTCACAAAGAAGTCAGCTGAAGTGCAAGGACACTGGCGTGTATGTGGCCTTCACAAACCGTAACAATCTTCATCTTCAAGCACCAACAAGACCTCCATTTTTTCTTAGCTAGGGGCATTTACTTGCCCCTCAGCAGAGCAAAAACTTGCTCATGTGGCAAGGATTCTCCTTAATGCCGGAGTAAACCCCGGCAAGCACGGGAAGAACATGTGCACATGATTTAGGAATTATTTTCAATCAATAACTATTATTGTGACTACTGTTGCCATTCTTATTGACCAATGCTAGTATCTTTGAACAAGATAAATGAGTTGGTTCATTATTGGTTTTGGCACTGCATAGCCACCCCCACGTATGCCATTAGCATTGCCTGGCTCACGAGCCTGTCCTGTTCTGTCCTGTCCTATCTGTACTCATTGCTTCCTCACAGGGTGTATGACTGCCTTCACAGTTTTGATCAAATCCAGCCCCGATTGTAAATTGGTTGTCACCTACTGTTGATGTTCTTTGCTGTTTTTGCACTGTTCCCCCTTGTCGCTGTCTGGGCCCTCTCAAACCTCATTCTGTCAGTACCTCAAACTCTCCTGCTGCACAGGAAATATGTTCCAGATCAGGTTTCTAATTAATACATTCACATAGATGGATAAGGATAATATGTTGGAGTTATGCTTAGAAAGTGCACTTGGCTCCTTCCTAATGTGTTGTAAGACAGCTTGATTTTCCAGATAACACTGGTCAACAATTTTTAAACGCTTTTTATTACTATTATTATTTTTTTATCAGAAACGCAAATAAACTTTTCTGGATGATTTTTTTGTGCTGATTCCAATGCTGATTCCAAATTTGCTCTCATCCCATCAGGTTTCCATAATAATAAAAATAGTAATCATGTTATATGTATCTATCTCAATGCCACGGCAACTTAATTTCCATAAGCGCACAATAAACATTATTAATGCAAAATGATGAGAAATGCACAGTCTTTGGATCAAAGTTGTTGTGCCATATTTCTTCCTCTTTAATTACATCATTTTTGTTTTTTTTTAATTTTCTAACTTTTCCCTACACATGCTAGTGACTAAATGAGTAGAAATGGCTAATGCAGTTTCCTCATTTGCAAATATACACACATTCTAACTGCACTATTTGTTTTGAGACCATTGGACATTGCTCCGTTTTTCTTTTCTTGTGTCAATAAATTTAATTTATTTTGTTACATTTAAAACAATATATATTTTTTGAAGTGTGTTAAGCTTGAAAATGAGTCCATTTGAGCCTATGGAGCTTAAAATACGCTCCTGCTTCAGCCCAAGAAAAGTGGAGCAGGACAGCGAGGAAGTGAGAGTGCACCCCTTATGTTCATACCTGCTATTGTATCATTGATGGGAGTAGTCATTACAGCTTGCACCGCCCCCCCCCACCCACACACACACACACACACACACACACACACACACACACACACACACACACACACACACACACAGCTTGTACACACGCGCACACACACACACACACACACACACACACACACACACACGTATATGGCGCATACTATATATACAATCACGCACAAAATATACAAGACCTATCTGAATAATGTACAGCAATGCACAAAAAGATGCTTGCTTACCTCTCCAGTCGTTTGCTGAAGTCTTTCTTCTGCTTCCTCCGTGCTAGATGCTGCAGCGGCTCATAAAACACGCCCGTCTGAGTGCTGCGTCTACTCCTTCCTCCTCCTTCCTCCTCCTCGCTCTCTCATTGGCCACCCCGTCCAGATGACATCAGCCTCGCTTTCTTTCTCCATCTCAATCGCTCCATGTATTCCCCCGGCACCTCCAGCTCCTCCCCTCCTGTTCACCTCCATCCCTCCTCGACTTTCATCTCCATCCATCCCGTCTGCTCCTTCTCTCTCGCTCTCTTTTTTTTCTGTTTACAAGCCAGTGGAGGTCATAGTAATATCTTGTGATTTATAATGTCATTGTGTCGCCTACAAATCCACCGTATAGGTTGGAACACTGGACAATAAGTTCAGCTGTGTTAAGTTTTTGGACAAGAGTAATTAAAAAAATAAATAACAAATCATCATCACACCAAAAAAAAGAAGAACCCCCCCCCTCCCCCCAAAAACAGACAACACAGTCAAGGCTGATTTATGTTTTTACTGGCTTTTTGAGTTTTAACCATTCACCCTTGTTCCCTATTGATTTGGTGCTATTCACTTATTAATTTGACCTTTTTTCATATTATTATTACTTTGACTGATTACTGCATGTGTGGCAAATGATAAAATATTGCCCTTGCCCTATTTTGGTAGTAGTGGGCCAAATCTCACAGTTAATAGCATGATAGATAGGAGACAGTATAGAGTGGGGTTGAGGGTTTTGGTTTGTGTGTAGTCCATTTTGGACGTGGGCCTTCAGTAGACTCTCAGTGACCTAATCCTCCTCTTAACCCCACTATTCTCATATGACAAAAGATACAAAACCGTATTATAACGCTGCGTAAGATTACAGAGCAATGGAGGCATTTTACGAATTTAAGGTTGAACGCTATTGACAATAAAGCAAGAAACAAAGTTAAACCTTTGTGTTCCATTACATCAACTCCAAACTAGCAGTTCACAATCAATGTTTGTCTAATAACGTGACAAAAACATTAAATAAAAGACATTGTACTCAACAGAGACGTATATTATACAGACATTATGGATATTACTTTTGCTAGCTATGTTGAATAGACAGCTAGGAGGCAGCTAGCTACAGTGTTGGCGGACCTTTCCTCACAATTTCCAGTTTTCCTTGAAAAGTTTGCCTTGAAAATCAAACATTACGTTATGTTTTTTTTTTAAAAAATATTGTACATTGTACATATATACCGGTATTTCTATAGAGGATTTTAACCCCCGATATTGTGCAATTCCACCCAGAAGCCTTTGCATTTTGAGAAAATGGCTTTTAAACTGCTGCCCGCTGTAGATGTAGGTCCATCAGCAGTTTATGGGTTACTTTTCTAAATTGATGGTCATGGTTGAGGTTGTTTATGATGGGGAGACATTTTGTGTTGAAAGAATGAAAGAGTAAGGTTAGGGTAATTGGATAGATGTGTTTGTAAAAGTAAGTACAACGAGGAGGAAATCTTGGGTTTGGACATGTAGTGGTAGAATTTAAGTTTACAGTTTCGAGGTAATGTTGTTGTATCCTTTCCCCAAGTTCCGGAACGTAAAATGATCAAGTGTTAGCGTGTTGGATTTTATCACAGGAACTGCAGATGAATTGATGTCCTTGTCTCTTCATGAAAAGTAACTTGCTCATCACCAGTCATTTATCTTCCTCCTCCTTGTTCCCGTCAGTTTGCCTTTCCCGCTCTTCCTTCTTCCTCCCCCTCGAGCTCTAAAATGCATTTCTGTCCCTCACTTCATTGCGTGTGCACAACACTCCACTGTAATGGCCATTCAGAGCCATGTGCTACTCCAGTGCTGTGTGCCAAGCCAGTCAAAACACCCCCGCACTTCCTGTTCGCGTGTGTTCCGGGAAGTCAAGGACAAAGGAGAAAGGAAACCCTGTATTGATCTCTCTCTCTCTCTCTCACACACACACACACACACACACACACACACACACACACACACACAGACACAAATTATATATATATATACACACACACACACACACACACACACACACACACACACACACACACACACACACACACACACACACACACAGAGAGAGAGCGAGAGAGAGAAAGTGATTATCGTAAGTGAGGAACAGCCTCTCTGACAAGAATGCTCAATAATAAGAAACACAATCCAAGAATAAGAACAAGAACCAGGAAATACACCATGTGGACAAAAGTATTAGGACACAATGAATTTTAATCTATGAAGCAATCATTCAGGGTTTGGGTGATAGCCTTTGAAGTCTGAGGGCCCTATTTTTGTTACTTGTACAATTCTACTGTAGCGCAAAGCTCATGGGTGGTGGCATGCCAATCGTAGGGCACAGATAGACGAACAAGCATTTATGCTCACAGTCACACCTAGGGACAATTTAGAGTGTTCCATAAACCTGCCATGCATGTTTTGGGAATGTGAGAGGAAATCGGAGTACCCGGAGAAAAACCATGCAGGCACAGGGAGAACATGCAAACTCCACATAGGAAGACCCGTGCCGGAATCAAACCCTGCACCTCTGCACTGTGAGGCGGATGACATGTTTAAAAATGTCAATTAAATCAAAGCATTGTTTTCATGTAAAAAATGCAAGTGATTCTCTGCATTTCAGGGTTTTAGGGAGCCAAACTCTCAAATTTCTTTTGCCCGAGTGGTTTTGCCGCAACGCTGTGAGGAGGTCCCTTATTTCCAGATCTGAAAGGTCGCTACCCCATTCCCAATGCAGAAATCATGGCCCATAAACATATGCTTGGATGAGTTTGCTGTGGAAAATTTCCTTTATGTTGCACCACAGTTGAAGATGAGTAGACATCAACTTATGTCCAGCATTTATAAGACAGCATGTACAGATCAACACACTTAGCCCCAAATACAAACAAATGATAAAATAAATGTGGAAAATGTGCTTGATAATATTTGTTGAGGACTTGGAGCACACAGTTCAAATTAGCAGCTCAATTCCGCCCTCTGGCGGGAAAAGCAAGCGATTACTTGATTACAAACTCAGTTTGTGGACACAAAATCATCACGGCCGAGTAAATCTCAGACTTCCTGGAGAACTGCCTTTGTAGAAACTGTCCAGTCACTGACTGCACTCCTGTTGTGCAAATGGACAGACAACAGATGGAAAACCAAGGCCAAGCTTCTGTTTTGACCACTTCAGGTCTGCAGTCTTTTCTATGTGAGCTGCTCTCTCTGGATGTCGCTCTCGGTCAGGGAACACCAACTGATTTTAATAGCCATAAAAAGAGCAGAAGCAGCAGTGGATCGTCAGCATGGAGGAGAAAAACAAAACCGGCAAGGACTTTTTAACATGCGCTGTTTTCGTATTGAGTATGTTGCGCTTGCTTGAGAGTGCAGTAGGTATGGTCCAGGTCTCTGCCGACGTCACGGATGCTCTGGTAGGCTGCGTCTTCTCGAGCGTACTCACGGGTGTGCAACTGGAAATGACGAGTCCATGTCACAGTTTCATGGGGAAAAAAATGATTGTGATAATAATTTACCTCAAATCTTTGGTTTCTGGAGTTTGCTATTGTCTTCCATTTATAGAATAGCAGCAGAACAACAGCAGCCAGCAGGAGAACCAGAACACTGCAGAGAATCAGAGGCCAGACAAGAACTGGAAAAAGCAAAAGTGAGAAACATGACATGTGAGAGGAAAAAACATCAAGGTGAGAGGAAAACAAGAAGAACAAACACTAAAAAAAGTGTTGAATTTACTCAATTTTATTTTGTCAAGTGGTGGCATGAAATACAATCATCTGGATCCAGGTATACTTTTTACAGACTATATATCGATTTGACAATCTAAATCCAGATGATTGTATATTCCATAAATCTTTAAAAAATTATATATAGATAGATAGATAGATAGATAGATAGATAGATAGATAGATAGCGGCTGGATAGCTCAGTTGGTAAGGCATCGGTTTGGCATACGGGAGACGGTGGTTCGAATCCCGCTTGGGGCAAAAATGAGCACAAAACAGAGAGACAATAAAATAAATGACATGCCGGCTCAGACGTCGCCCGGCCAAACAAGGTCTGCGTCAGGTGCTGGGGA